AAAAAAAAATGCCTAGAATGACCCAACACTCAAGAGAACTTTCTCCATCCTTCATTCCAATTCCCTCCTTCCTAGGACCAAAAGGAACAAATACAGCTTCAAAAAGCTATACAAGGAAGGACTAATAGAGCGAAAAATTTTGTAAATGAGACTAAAATGGGACATAAAATTATTTTTCAAATGAAAACATAAGCATCCAGATTAAAAATATAAGGAATGTGACCAGAGACAATTAGACTGATAATTCTATGTCTTTTATTCAGTTATTTCAAAAATATTTGTTGATCATTTGTTTCAAAATGTACATTAAAAAAATCCATACAAAACTGTAATTTGTTTTAAAACCAGACAGAAACCGTGGAAAAGGCTTTTGAAAAAAGTTCACTGAAAGTAAAAAGATTCCCCCCTCCCGCCCGCCCCCCCAAAAAAACCTTTTACATGAAAGCATAAATACGGCAGGTACAAATTTTCCTTGAGTTCCTCGTTGAAATTTGGTCCATAACATGAACAGGCTAAAGTAGACAAACCAGAAGACAACTTGTCCACATTTGCATTAGGAGTTGCTCACGGCACCGGCAGCCGCAGCTCGCCCTTCAGGTGTTTACTGAACAAGAGAACTGAAGAGTGAGGTGTAGGGTCTCCTCACCGAACACTCGAGGCCGCACCCAAGGACACGTGGAGCTTACCGTCCCCGCCGGCTCCTGTCAGTGGCCAGGCCACGCATGGCTGCTCCTCAGAACCGCCTCCTTCCTCTGCACACGAACGAGCAGCTCTGGAAAGCTCTTAGACAGTAACGGGGACATCTCCGGTGTCCCAAGAGATCTTATTCCCAGATGCTGACTTCTTTAATGCCCCATCATGAGGATGGTTTTTATTTCTTCCTTTTCAACAGATTAAAAAAAAAAATCTATGGACTTCTAAGGTGATGCTACAATGCTCTAGGAGAGTGCCACAGAAACCCACCCAGGATGAAGAGGATGGCAGCAATAAAGGGAGAGGAGCGCACACGTTTCTTCTGTAGGGGAGGACGACCACCCTCCCGCGGGTCCCTTCCCTTCCCAGCTGCAGGGCGCTTAGGGACAGCAGGGCCTGTGGAAAGACCACCGGCTGGGAGAGTTATTGCACAACCCGGAGGAGCAAGGAGAGGGCAGGCAGGCAGCTGCGGCTGCTAACATGGCTAACACTGAGTTAGGAGCACAAAGAAACTCTGCAACAGCCAAACCAGACCCCCTGTCAGCCTGGGGTCTGTGAGCACACACTTGCCACTGGGAAGTAAAAGTAAACACCTTGATCAGATCAACTGTGGGATGAATGGGAGGCAGAACAGATTGGAAGAGGTTATAGCCAGGCTACTTCTCTTTTTAACTGGGGGTGTGGGGGGCGGGTAGGACTAGCAGGGCAGGGTCTGCCGTGGGGGGCCTTGTGCCCCTGGAGGTCCCTGGGCTTCCCTCCACAATAGAAGACGCAGGTGCCTGCGGCTGGGTCCTCAAGGCTTCTGCAGCCACCCCTGTGGGCTAGAAAGCCAACACAAGGGAGAAACCAGAAACAAAACCTAGAATATACCACAGACCCCAACACCATGGTCGGGGGGTGGGAGGGAACAGAGACGAATAAAGCCAAACTCTCACAATCTGTGTCCCTTTCACATGGAATGTACCAGGGTCCAGTGTCCTCAACTGCACATGACAGCCTGCCCCAGAGGCCTGGCCACACAGCACGTGCGGAGGCTGGAAGGCCACACGGCAAGTAAGGCACTTCTTATACAAAGAGAAGGGGTGTCCACTTAGGACAAGCACTCTCAGGGGTCGCCGAGCACAGGGTCAGCACAGAACACAGACATCCCAATGCTTTTCTGAGACCTCCAGAACAAGAGAGAGGGGGCCGCAGGGGATGCAGAGGATGAGGGGCAGCCATTAAACTGTCCCCGGGGGGAGCAGAGTAAAGCGAGAGGGTTAGCCGGGGCCGGAGAGGGGTTCCACTGAAGTTTCACACGATCTGACAATGACCCAGTTCCCAGGTCGTGCCCAGAGTGCCTTCTGAGGAGCAGGGCCGTGGGAAGGGGAGGAAGCAGGAGGAAAGACCGACCACTCTGCTGTCCTGCCTCCATCAGAGAACAGAGAGCGGCAACGACATTCGGGAACGAAGTCTGTTCACTTGGGTCTCCACAGTCCTCAGCAGGAGAGGAAAAACAGACTAGGAAGGCTGAAACCTGTGAAGGAAGTTCCCGAGCTGCATGGGGCCTGGCAAGCCACTGCAAATCTAAAAAGGCATCCAGGGAATAGAATTTTCTCTTGTGGAATCTCGGGAGGGGTATATGCTCTGCCTCTATCTCTTCTTCACCATTCAGAAAGAAAGTGAAAGGGTGTGGAGGAAGAAGGTCCCTAAAGGAAAACCCAGACGCAGGCTTTGCCGGAAGAACACCGAAGCCAGGCTTCAGGGGTTTCTAGGGTCTGAGGATTCCAGTCAAGAGCCGCAGCTGCAAAGGGGGCCAGAGCACGAAGTCTAGTTTGGTTTCTGAAATGTAAGTGCTGCCTTGGGACAGAAGCACGAAAGGTTCTGGGCAACAATGTAGGTCTGGTGACCCAGACACACACACACACGGTTGGAACGGACTAGAAAGGGGAGCAGCAGCTCCCCTCCTGGCTCTCCCTGCTCCCCCTTTGCTCTTGAACCTTCCCCTACCTTTAAAAAGGACACATGTAACTTATTAATAGTGCAGCTATCAGAGCCTGATGGTAAAAATAACTCTCCCACCACTGGACCTCAGCAGCCCTGGGTCCTCCCCACCACCACAGCCACTCTGCCCCACCATGGCCACCTGCTCGCCCTCCCTCCCCTGCCCTGCACCAGTGGCAGTCAGGGACATTTAGAGAGCAGTGGCTGCTGCTGAGGTAGATGAGCATCTGTCCCCAGCTCCTGCTGAGCCGGCACTCACACTCGTTGCTGGGCGGCAGGGCCCTCACAGACAGCTTGACACTTTGGGAACTGGAGAGAGCATTTAAGACTGAAGATGACAGCAAAGTGGCCACATCAGGACAAGGCAGCACACCAAGCTCACAGGACGAAGTGGGGTTATTTTGGCTCCTGGCGTTCTGCTTTGAGCCAGCCTGCCAAAGCCGGGGCTCCGTGTGGAGATAAACATGGCTGGGATGCCAGGGGGGTGACAAGAGATCCCTACAATTATTCTCCTCCCCACCCCACAAGCGTTCCTGAGGCCTGGCTGGGGACACGCTAGCCTTACTCATGGTTTCGGGTGTTGACACGGCAGAAAAAACAATCCTTCTATTAACCTTCATCCCTGCACACACCCTATCCTTCAAGCAACAGAGCCTACGTTGGCCCCCGCCCCTGGGCTGGCAGTACCACCTCTGAATCACACCCACCCCAGCGCCAGAAGCTTGCAGGGCACTCAGGGAACACGGAGCCACGCAGCCCGCGGCAACAGACACTCAGACCTACGGCCATGAGAAGGGAGGCTGACAGCAGGCCTCGAGCTGCTTGCCCTACTCTGAGCTGGCGGCCCACAGCGAAGCTGCCGAATTTTCACCAGTGCTCACCTGAGGGAGCGGCCCCTTGTAGGGACCAGCATGTGGCCCGGGACATGGCCAGGAGAGAACCAGGATGGGCGGGGAGCCTCATGGGACAGCTTTGGAGCTGCTGGGTGGACGCCCTTCCCTCACCAGGAAAGGTGGGGATTGTGAACAAAACCGCAGCCGGGGCAGGGGTATTTGGCCAAACGACTGAGGGGTCCTGGCTCAGGTTTGCTGGGGTGATACCAAGCCACCCTCCTAGCACTGTTCTGCTCTGCAGTCCAGAGAAGTGTCAGAGAAGAATGGGAGAGATACAGATCTCCAAAAAGGCTGTCCCGCTTCCTAAGGGTGATCAGAGGCCAAGGGCAGTTCTTCCCATTTCTACAGCCTTAGACTGGACAGAGAGAGGAGGCTCTACAGCCATGTTCGGGTACAAATTCCCCAGTCACTGGAAAATTAAATGTATCTTCTTCCCATGGAGAAGGGGAGCTGCCCTGATGAAGCCCCCCCCCCCCCCACCGACTTCAGGGTAGTAACCCAAGGTCAGGCTTCCACTGTGAGGTCAGAAAGAGGACCGGCACCTCAAATGACACATTTCTATGCCCATCAGAACCTGCTCCCTGCACCTCAGCACAGAATTCAAGAGTTCTTAATCAGGACTAAGCCTAACCCCTTCTGGAAGTCCCCCCCAGGGAGACCTTGTCTTTAGGTGGAGCAGAGGGAAGGAAGGAGGGAGGGAGAAAAGCGCCTCCCACTGGCACAGATGTCTGCTCATCTGCCCTGCAGATCATTCAGAGTCAGTCCTGCTTTCATACAGTCTAAAATGTTACAGGCGCACTCAAACACCACAGGATGACAGTGACCAGCCCACAGACACTCCACAGATGAGCCAGAGGGTAACCGGCTAGGCAAGCCTCCTCGTGGCACCAGGGGCCAATGCAGGGCTTGGTGTTCCTGCAGTGGGAGAGACGAAGTCAGGCAGCGAGGTCAGCCTTTCCCCCGGCTGCATGGCTCTGGGCTTCGGGACTGGCATCTGCCAGGCCGCTCTGGTAACTAACTGGGTTGGGCTGGGTTTTGAATGCTGGTGAACAGTTGAAAAAGCAGCTGGGGCTGTGGCCGAAGGCAGGCCAAGGGTGACCACTCCAGCACCTCCGCCACCTTTACCCTTCCAGAAGCGCTTTGTTCTTGCTCCAGCGCGTGGGGAGACTTGTCCTCCTTCAGCACCTCCCTGGCAGAGCGAGGGCCGGCTGGCCTGTGTCCAGGACCAGCCACACAGTTACCACCACCTTTCTGGGCTGGGTCGCCATGCCCACAGCCAAACGCCTTTGCATTTCCAAGTAGCAGGGGTGCAGCCGGGCCTCCAGATGGTACGTGCAGAACTGGAATCATACATCTCAGTTAATCAGCACCTGGAGATGATGATCCAAGAAGGCTGGTCTCTCCTCTCCTTGTCCGAATACTCCCCGCCCCCCCCCAACCCCGGGCCTGTTAGCGGCTCTGGGCGGAGTCTCCTGGGCACCAGGCTTCTGACTCTGACAGGTCCTGGACACTGATGCTGGGTGTCGGATGGCCACAACTGCAATTTGAGCTCCCTCTCGTTGTAAAAATCAGACACAGAAAAATTGCACAATATGGTGAAAAGTCAAAGAAAGCAGCCATGAAGGAAGAGAAAGAGGAGGCAAGCCAAGAGAGAACCGTGAGAGCCTGGGCTTCTAGAAAACCCAACACAGCACAGAGGTGAGGACATGAGGTGGCTTGAGGGAGAGGAAGAAGAAGAGTTTTGGTTTTATGGAGAATGGTTTATGGAAGACTAAGAAGAGAAAGCCAAGAAATAAAAAGGAGGAAAAGCCCCGTTTGGAGACAGGTTCCCGCTGCTGGGGAGGCAGCATCAGAAGCAGAAGGGGGAAGGCAGTGGCGGGGGCAGGACTCCCCACCTCCCTGCTGGGCCCCCATGAGAGGATCCCTGTTCCAGCACTTTGGCCTCAAGGAGACTTGAGTTTCTTAGTCCGTGGGGAGGTGCCATTCTCTGCCTTCACTACTCCGTTTTCATGGTAACCTAGGACGTGAAGGGAGACAGACAAACATGGTGTTTCTGTGGGACTGGTGCAGCGCACACAGGCTGGGGGGATGCCCTCCCAGGGAGGGGTAATGGGGAGGAGGCAGCAGAGGCTGCAGGGACAGACATTACTCAGAGGCCCAATGCTCCTCTGGCAGAAAAAACTCTGCCATCTTTTTATTGTTGTCGAAAACCCCTCCCTGTGCCTGCTCCGAGTCCATGCAGCTGCAGCCTCCTGCCCCACATCCCCTCCCACCCTGGCCGGACTCAGCACACCCAGCCGTGCACGTGTCTGCTCCAAACGCATGGGGGCCCCTGCCTAGCAGGCCACACCTGGAGAGAGGCAGGTGAGTCAGAGAACAGAGCCTGGTGCAGACAGGCCCCCAGGCTGGACAGAAAGGGCAGGGCTGGCCATGGCCTGGGACCCGGGGCAAACGGTTACTGGAATGTGGTTGGGGCCACAAGAGAAGAGGGCGTCCCACCCCTGCCGTCCACCAAGCATCATGTCCCCAGAGTCACTCCTGAAGATGGAGAGGAGCCAGCAGCCTGGGAGGCAGGCACATGGTGCAATGTGGAGCCGGAGGGCAGGTGAGGACAGGGCCGCTCAGGCAGTAGGCGGCAGACCTTGGCCGGCGTTCAGAAGCCACTTCGAGGACACGCTTGCCTCCAGAGCTCCCCACCCAGCTGCTGCCCCGCCCCACCATGGCCAGGAGAACTCCCTGCCTCGTCAGGGCCAGCCTCACCCACAACGCGTCCCTGGCCCTTGCCCAGCCACGTGCCAGTCAGGCCCCGGCAGGAGCCCAGGAGCCCAGGAGCCAGGGCCCCAGGGAGGCTGGAGGAGTGGCGGGACTGGTCGGGGGAGAGCCTGAGGGCCCCGGCTCCTCCCTGCGCATCCCAGACAGACTTCGCTGCTCCCAGCCCAGGGGCCTGGCACTCACCAGATTCCCTCTTGATGAGCCTGGTTGGCAGTCTGGGGGCAGCTGGGCCTCTCCGCTTGGCGCTCTGCTCGTTCCAGTACTCCCGCCAGTGCCGCAGCTGGGAGTGGATGAACCGCCACATGAGCCAGGCCTGGGCGGCGCACACCAGCAGCAGCACGCACAGCCTGTGGGGGGAGTGAGGGCCGGCTCAGGGGTGCAGGCCCCGGCGGGGGTGGGGGTGCAGACAGGGAGACACGGTAGGTCAGGAGCCCCGCAGCCCCCCAGGGGCACCCTCAGCGCCAGCCCCCAGGAGAGCGTGTGTCCACGCTGGCCTCCCCTCTAGCACACTGCACGGGTGCTGACAGAGGGACAGGGGGAAGGGAGACTGGGAAAGAGGAGGTGACAGACATTTGTCCGGCTCCCTAGTCACATGGCCCCCATGGCCTTTTCTGACCCACGGCACAGAATGGGACTCCTTTCAGCTCCACAGATGTAGTGAAAGAACTCAAATGAACTGAATTAGGATATAGCAAAATAATTCTAGGAGACTGGCTTCTCATCTCGCATGCCACTTGAAAGCTGAGCAACACCGGACAAATCATACCCCCTCCTGCGCCCTACGGTCACGCGGAAGCAAAATCGCTTCCTCCCTGCCTTCCTGCCACTATGGAAGGCCACTGGCCAACTTGCCAAGAACACCACCGTACAGAGTCCAAGTGCAGTTTTAACAACCAGCCAAGGGATTTTAACAACCCCTTCATCGGTTTAACAACTCCTTCGTGGGGGCACGATGCAAGTCCTGTGCCCCCACAAAGCCCTGGACAAGGATGAGGGGAGTCCTGCTTGGGGATCCTGACTGCAGTCCCAGCAGGCCAGGCTGGCTGTGAAGACGGTCTTGCGGAAGCAGAAGGCTGGGGTTCTTCTCCTCTCAGGCCTGCTGTCTAGAGAGCTCCCTCGAAACATTAATGTGTGGGAGACTCAGAGATCTGTTGCCCCCAACCTTCCAAAGTTGTGCCAAGTTCAGGGGGCTCCTGGCAGGGCTTAGGGAGCCTTGATTTCCCTCCTTGGACTTTTTCCCAACTCACCTGCAAAGTAAGGTGTTGAAGTTCCCTTTCTCTGGGTCAAAGGCCTGGTTTTCCATGCGAGCAAGTCCAAAGCCAATGGCCAGCACAGCGAGTGTGAGGATGAAGAGGCGGGTGACCCCAAATACAGCAGCCCAGGCATTAAACCTGCTCGTGGAGGCAGAAAAGGGATGTTAGCCTTTAGGGCCCATGAGGGAATTGTCACCCACTTCTCCGGAAGCAACCCCACATGGGAAGAGCGTGCAAGGGCAGCCGTGGGGTGTCTGAGGGAGGAGAGAGCTAGAACAAGAGGCTGTGAACACCAGCCTCCGGACACCACCTGCAGGGAAGGGACAGTTCACACCACGCGCAGGAGCCTCCCACAGCCGGGCCTCACAGGCGGCCCCTGCCCACAGCCCCTCCGAACCAGCCAGCCGGCCCCATGCCACCTACAGCTTCTCGTTGTTCTCGTCCGCGAAGTAGAAGAGTCGAGCCATGTGGAAGAGGAACTCGGTGCAATACTGCAGCAGCAGCAAGATGAGGCCCAGGCGGCTCAGGCTGGGAGGAAAGGACAAGCGTCCCAGTCCACCCCGGGTGCCATGGAGAGCCAAGGCTAGGGCCCCGCACCCCAGGCTCCGCGCGCCACACCTCCTCTCCCTGGCCAGTGGGGGGGGGGGGGGCCTCCGCCTAGGGGACTCAGTTCTGCACCCGTGCCTTTAAGAGAAGACTGAATCCCCCGGCCATCTGGCTGGCCTGTCTGGGTCCAGCGCCCCTCCCCGCTCCCACAGTGAACCTGGCTTCCGCTCTCACAGCACCTGTCCCTTTGCATGCTTCGCCTGGCCTGGGCCAAGCACACAAAAGGTGCTCAGAACAAGGGGCCGAGCTTTGCGGGTAGAAATACATAGGATTCCCACCGTCTGGTGTCTCGTCATCCAAGTCTTCGCGGCTAAGAAGTACACGGAGAAGCGAAACTCAACATAACACAAAAGTACGTGTGAGTTGAACCAACCTCTGAAAACACTGGCACCACCCACTCAGACTCCCGTCTGCTCAATTCCAGGCACAGGGTCGCTACGGACCTTCTTAGGCAGTTTGCTACAGAGGGTCAATGGCAGTTCAAAGAAATGCAGAGGGGCTGCAAAGTGAAACTGCAGATCGTGCTGAACACGCCGGGCTTCGGAAAGCTGGCAAGATGATGGGAGAGCAGTGCTAACTAGGGATCCTGCCGCTTCCACCCAATGAGACCAAGCCAGGGCCAGATGGACGGGGAGGGTCATGGGTTCCTGAGGATGCTTGGGGAATGACGTGAAAACCAGCCCATGTCTTCACATGACCTGGAGAGTCCAACGTGATCTTGCCCATGACCTCATCTCAAATCTCATTTTCTGCACTCCAGCCACAGCGGGCTTTCCACCCACTCCCATCTCAGGGCCTCTGTGCCTGTGGTTTCTCTGCCTGCACCGCTGTCCCCCCAGATCTTCATGTGCCCAAGTCTTGTCATTCCTGCCTCAACCTGAGTCACCTCCTCAGTCACCTTCCTGCCCCACAACAAAGGTGCCAGGAGGCAAGTCGCTCTCTCTCAGTCCCCAGCTTCATTATTCTTTTCATCACACTTAGCAACACACGAAACTCTGTTTGCTTTCTTCTTTCTTTCCTTCCTTCCTTTTTCGAGAGGAATGGAGTAGGGGCGGAGGAAGAGAGAATCCCAAACAGGCTCCACACTGAGCACAGAGTCCAATGTGCGGGGCTCAATCTTATGACCCTGAGATCATACCCTGAGCTGATATCGCCACCTGCTAGAATGGACACCTCAGGAGAGCAAGGCCTTGGTCTGCCCTCACCCAGATGTGACAGCAGCTTCTCAGGCAGCCTGGCCTGAGGGAGGAGCTCAGGTATGTGCTGAGTGAGTGAAGGCTTCTAAAAGTCAAGCTCTTCACCAAAACAAGGCCCTGCAGCAGTCGCCATTTCAACGGTGTGTCTTTCTGGGGCAATCCTGTAGTCAAGGGTCTCTCCTTTCCCCCACACTCCTGAGAACCAGAACAAGGATGGAGAAGGAAAATTATGGTCCTCACGTGGGCAGAGAGGCAGCTGTGCCAGCATCACTGGGGAATGGAATGGGCCTCATTTTGGAGGATCTGCTGCTCCCTGCCCTCTCGGTTCTATTCTGATTCCAAAACAAGAATCACAGAACCCTGCCCGAACGGGGTCAGATACATGTCCGTCTCCTTCTCTGGGACATGCCAGGTGTGAGAAATACAGACTCTAGAGCATCTTCCGTCTTTGGGATGAACCTCGATGGTACAACAGGGACCCCACAGCAGGACACTCTCTACCTTGTCCTCCCCGCACATTCTCACCCGGGTCTCTGCCACACAAGGGCAGAGACAGCCTTTGCTCCCCAAAGACCCAGCCAGGGGTTGATGCCGTATCAGCCGTCAGAGATAAGAGACCACAGCCAAGAGCTGCCTTCCTCCTGACTCCACCACCCCTGGGCAGTCACTCTCGTAGGATGCCAGCCGAGAGGGCCTGGGAGATGAGGGGCGCAGGGGCCTCCGGGGAGCCTAGCGAAAAGTTATCCATCGCGAACCCTCAAAATGTCAGTCCAGAGAAAGTACAGGGTGTTGTCCTATGCTGCACAGATAAAGCTCAAGAAAATTCCAAGTTAGCAGTGACACATCCTACTCTTGACAGGATTCTTTTTGTAAGAGACGCTCAAGGCCAAACGCTATGGCAGCTCCTCCGACTTCAAAGCCATGGTTCAAGTGCCAACATCCCTTGAAGCCTCTGCTGCTCTGGGTCGGGAGGAGTCAGTCATTTTTCTGGGTTCCCACGGCAGAGGCCATGTACCATAGCCCCATGCTGGTCACACTGAGCTTTCCTGACCTGGGTCTGTATCTCCCGCTGGGCTAAGCATGAACCACTCAAGATAAAGTGATCACCCCCTTCGTGTTCCCAGGTCTGGCACGGTGCCTGGCAAACAGAAGGTGTCTAATAAAGGCCTCCTCACTGAATGCCTGTGTGGAGAGCTGCTCGGAAGTAAAAGGGCATGGCAATGTGACCAGCCCTGGGGTCTCACTCACTTTAAGAGGTATGCTCCGGCTATGTGGACCAGGTACAGACAAATGTACTGGAGCTGGCGGGGGATTTCCTCCTGCAAACAAGAGAAACCAGCAGTAAGCATGCTCCTTCCCTAACAGAAGATGCAGGAACGGAGGGGAGGTGCAGAGGGACGATGGTGGCCCTGGGTGCTCTGCTCCAGCCGGTCCCAGATCACGCCAGAGGCCCGTGCCCCACGCTGCTAGGCACCAGCTTCCAGTCCATGAGGCGGGACTGGGTTGAGAAAGAAGAGACAGGGACTGGGGGAACAGGGCTTTTGGAAGTAATTCAGAGGGAGGCTATTAAAAAAAAAAAAACCGAGAGAGACAAAAACCTCTGATCCACCATCCGGAAGACAAGAGGCAGACCTCCCCCAAAGCCACATGTCTAGCGTGGGAGGCAGGAGACCCGCTGGAGGCCTGCTCTCAGGGAGAGCCTGATGGAGACTTCGCTGGCTCAGCATCCTCTTCAACCCGCCAACACAGCCCTGCCCTCTTACCCCCAGCTCTGGGCTTCTAGAGGAAGGTGCTGCAGCTTACCCACTGGGAAGCTGGGGTGTGGAGGACATGGGGCTTCCCAGATGGGGAGTACTCACCTTCCGTACCTTCTGGAAGTACAGCTCCGGAAGTGCGTGCAGCCAGTAAGCCAGCTGACACAGGTAGAAGAACTTCACCTGGAAGCTGGAGACAAGGGAACGCGTCACCCGGAAGGGCCAAGCACAGAAGGAGGAGGGAGGGCAGGACTGTGGGAGGAGCTGGTCCAGGAGCCAGAGGCATGCCCCAAGCCCAGGGACCCTGCTCCACAGACCAGAGCACTCCAGGGACGCAGCCCACGGAGGGAACCAAACATGGGGAAGAGAGAAGAGAGGAGGGTCCCCTGGCTCGGAGAAGGGAAGGCTGAGCACGGACAGTGAAGATGGGCCACCGGTATACTGAAGGATGAGCTGAGGTAAGTGGCAAAGGTGGCGTCTCTGCTGTAAGCCCCCTGTTCTGCTGGAAGGGTCTCAGGAAAGGCACAGAGGGTCTCCTGCAGGAGGCAGACCCTCCTGGTGTCTCAGCAGCACAGAGCAGGCGAGGAAGGGGGGCTGCCTCGTGAGGAGCACCAGCCTCATAATGGTGGGAGGAAGGTGCACTGTGAGGGGGTGCAGGTCATCGAGAAGGTATGGGGCCAGAGAACTTTACAGAGACGCCCTGCTTCCGTGATCGTGCTCTGACAGTGTGGTTGCCTGCTGCGGACTGAATGTGTGTATCCCTCAGAATTCACAGGTTGAAATCCGACTCTCTGTGTGATGCTATCTGGAGGTGGGGCCTTGGGGAGGTGACCTGAGTCATGAGGGCGGGGACCTCTTTCATGGGATCTGGGCCTTTGTTAAAGAGAACCCAGATAGCTCCTGGGCTTTGCCATGTGAGGACACAAGCAGAAGACAGCCCACTATGAACCCAGAAGCAGACCTTCCCCAGACCCCAAATCTGCCGGCACCCTGATCGTGGGCTTTTCGGGCTCTGGAACTGTGAGCAACATGTCTCTGTTGTATAATTTCTAAGCCACCAGCCTCTGACATTCCGGGACAGCAGGCGGAGTGAAGACGTCACCTCTGTGATGGGGCTAGTGCAGGACAAGTTATTTTGGGAGTCTCCAGTCAAGCGCACTAGGAGGAAGCAGCTCGCAGACAGGACTGCCGTCTGCAACAAGGCGCCCGAAGAGGCTCGGGGCGTGAGCGGCTCCTCGTGCCAGCTGGCCCGCGGTTTTCTGGCCACAGGCTGGGATGAGGAAGCCAGGGACCAGCTTGCTTCTCCTTGGAGACGCAGTCATGGGAATACTCACGGGAGGTACACGTGCGGGTAGTCTTCCCAGAGGCTTCTCGGGTTTGTTAAATATCCTTCCTGCAGTGGGCAAGGAGAGACGGCCTTTAGAGAGGGGGGAGAGGAGAACCGCTGGGGCACTGGGCAGGGCCAGGGGAAGAGGTCAAGGGCGCACCCCATCCCCAGCTGCCAGAAAGAGGAAGGGACAGGAAACACGAAAATGAAGGATCTCTCTGCACGGGACACACCCGGCCCTCAGCCGGCTTCCTTATTGTGAAAGAGCCATGATACCGTACGAAGAGCCCTACTCTGGGGTCTAAAGACTGTCTGCATGTGGGCCCGGCACTGTTAGTCTCCCTACCTTTAGTTGGCTCATCTGAAAATGAGGATAAAAATACCCTTGCAGAGTTATTATTAGAAATAAATGTCATAGCTTATGTTTATGTGTCTAGCATGATGCCTCGCATGAAGGCACTCAGGAAATGCTTGTAGAATGAATAAGCAAGTGGACTGTAGAATCACCATCCACTAGAAAAACGAAAAGCCTACATTGGCCTTTCGCATCACTATGAATAAAAAGAATGCGGGACCCCACAGGCCTCGTAAGTGTGAGACCTACCACACTTTGTCATTGTCACGAGAGGTCTCCATCACTCCACAAGTTCCTTTGTGCCAGGGCCTCATCACACCCTTCTCTATACCTCCAGCACCTAGCCCAGGGCCTATTATAGAGTAAGGGAGGTAACCTTAAAGCCCTCCCATCATGAAACATCTAGAAATGCTGGATGCAAGCTAACAATTACTCTCTTACATGCAGAGGGTTTTCCCAGAAAGGGATTCCAAAGGGACAGGAGGCTAAAAGCCAGAGCAGTGGGGTGAGGCTGGAACAGCTCAGAAGTTACTAATCTTGGGGTCAGGGTGTTCGTGCCCACATGGGAACAAAAATGGGCCTCCAGAGGTGGAATCTAAGAGCCTTATATAACATCAGGACCCTTGAAGGGCTGCAAAAGATGGTTAGACTAGAGTTTGCAGAAGCTTGGGTTAGACCAGGGAAAGGGTGGAGTATGGTCTGACAACCAATAAAGAGAGATAAAGATTTCTGCTCATCCTGGGCTCAGGATGAAAAGCACAATATATTATCCCTTGAAAATCTGTAACCTCGGGTTCACTTTCACATGGGTTTGGAGTTCAAACTCATACTCCTTGTACGGTCCAAGAACTACCAAGCTTAGGAATTAATATTATTAATACTGTGGGCCAGTGATACCACTGGGGCATACTCTCATCCAAGGATATATAGGATTCTCACGCACAAAACCTTGCCGAAGATGAGTTTGTAATCCAAAATTACAAAACACAAGAGGAGCCACTCCACTGTGACGAGAGTCAGCTGACATTACAAGAATTCAATAAAAACCTGTTGGTTGAATGAATGAATCAATAATGAATGCTTTAGGCAATGTTTCTCTTCTGAGCGAAGAACAAGGCTCTTATTTGTCCCTCAGAGAAAGGGCAGTACAACCCCATTTCAGAAACAGGGAAGTGAAGGGAAAGACAGGAAGTAGCTCCCAAAAGGAGATGCTTTTTCAGCAGTGTCGGTGAAATCTAAGCTGGGCCACCAACCTCAACTGAGGTACAAGAACCTCCAGACAGCTTCCTCAGTATGTCAGCCACTGAGCTGGTGGCTTTGAGGAGGAGACAGACTCAAATGTCACACTGGGACTCAGGTCAGGGGTGTTAGCAGGGCTCTGGAGAAAGAAGAAGCCTACAGGGGTTGGGGACAACACTCAACTTCCTGCCCAGTGATCCTCAGCTGGATTTCCAAGGGAGGGCTGGCCCAGCCACCCTCAAGTCACTAAATGGCCTTGGATGTTTTGGATGTGGTCCCCAGCCCCCATACCACAACCTGGGGTCCCATTAGCACCATGACCAAACTGATAGGTCCAGTCAGGTCCATGGACCAGTGTGGGCATGATAACTCCGAGCTGAAGGAAAAGGTCTTGCCCCAGCCTCTCATGGCTTCATTTCCAGTCCTTTCTCCTTACCCCTGCCTTTCTCCCTTGGTCACATACACACTAAGGAAGAGAAGGAAGGCTCTGGGGCCTCTGGAGGGTAACAGGAGGGCTCTCCTACAGTTCTGCTCTCAGGCTCTGCCTGCCCTCTTCGCTGCTCAGGGGGACCCAGTACACAGCAACGTATATGGTCTTCCACTCTCTACTTCATTCCAGGGAAAGCTCTGGTGAGAATATCCCTTCTTAGAGGAAGCAGCGATGTACTTATTTAAGGAGGAAAATGGTCCATCTGGGACTGAGGTGGGAGGGACACTTCTGCCCAAAAAGACTGGCCAAGAGAAGCAGCCCTCAGAGAAACCTAAAGCCCAGATGACCTAGTGATTTTAAACAGGAACCCTCCTCCGCTTGGCCCCTTTTCTTAGGAGACAAAGAGGCCAGAAGTTTGAAGCCAACAAGCAAAGAAACTCCCCAGAAAAATGCTGCCTGTTTGTGAATGTCTAGTCCGCAGGGAGTGCAGGGAGGGAGTGCAGGGAGGAGGGCGGAGGAGTCAGAGGAAAATGACTCACAGCTCTGAGAACAGCCTTTTCCAGACCTCAGGCCAGGCAGCTGCCTGAGGGCGGCCAGGGGCTGGGGTGTTCCCTGAGCTCCGGAGGCCAGGCTGAGGACCTGAGATCCCAGGGGGCTGAATGTGGGTGGCAACCCTGCCCCAACCCTGGTCCCTGACAGGCACGGGCTGGGAGGCTGGGGGAGCTCCTGAAGTCCTTCGTTCTCTCCTTACCCTAGGAGCTAAGGGAGGTACAAGCAAACTGGAACAATCTCTCCCTTTGCCCCTGCAGCCTTCCTTTTTGGTGAAAGGACAAAGAGAACCACAAAAACAGCAGAACTCAGTCATAACACAGCCGGCTGCTACCTAGACTCAGACATACCAACATCACTCGTCCTTCAAGAACAATCATGTACTCGAGTTCTGCTCTAAGGGGCCAGCCCTGTAATAGGAACCAGTCCAGAGGGAAGGGCCTTCCCTCTACCAGGCTCTCATGGGGCACCAGCCTTCAGGTTTTAAGATACGAAGGGAGACCTCCCAAGGAAGTTGGGCAGGGAGACCAGACGCCTGCCCCCTCACCGGCTTCCCTGAGGAGAACGTGGGTGTCTTGTTTTGTCTTCTAATAATCAGGAGTCAGCAGCTCAAAGGTAAACGAAAAGGAAGGAGGCTGACCTTCTCCCACATTATTGGTTGGTCCAGCCAGGCTCTCATCACTCTGCTGGTATAAATGCAGACAGAAATGTCTAGATCAAACACCCCCCAAAACCCAGTTATTTTAGGGGGAAGGTTCTGGGGCAAATGTTCACTTTTTCTAAAAAAAAAAAAAAAACAAAAAAAACAAAAACCAAAACCTTTATGTATTGCTCATCTTTTTAAATAAAGGATCATCTACAAGTTTATAAAAAGTGACTCATGATCTGACAAACCATCAGGGCCAGAGCAAGAAGCCGTGCCTGCAGTTTACTCCCCCCTCACAAGCACGGCTTTGAGCACTCAGTACCTGCCAGGCTCTGCACTCGAGACACTGTGGTGGGCACAGACTGGTCACAAGCAGCTTCAGGGCTCGGGGGACAGACAGACGGACAGCAGAGCACACACATGAACGAGAAAAATACCCCAGCACTGGCTGGGGTGTACACAGCACACACTGGGAGGCAGGGTTCCGCAGGAGGGGACTCTGAGGTGGAAACTTAGTTGGGAGGGAGTTGGCCATGGCCTCTGGGCATGGAGCATTTGGGCAGAGGACCCACCCACGCAGAGCCAGAGGGCCAGCAGAGGTGGGAGAGCAGAGGTAAGAAGAGGGGGACCCAGATCACAGACTCAGGAAGAAAACGATTTTGCTGCAAGTGGGACAGCGGCTCTGACACAGGGTGTGGGATTGCATGTGTGTTCCAAAAAGACCTGTCGACTGAGCAGAAAACGGATTTGGGTGGCAGTCTACTGGTGCAGAAACAGCCCCCTTCTAGAAGGGCAACAGTCAGTGGGCCAGGCAAGAGAGGATGGTGGCTCGGACTGCAAACCAGGATTCCCAGCCTCGGCACCCTTGACACCTGAGGCCGGACAATTCTCAGTCGTGGGGGCTGGCCTGTGCATGGCAGGACATTCAGTGGCGTCCCAGGCTTCCAGCCACCGCTGCCAGCAGCATCCTGCCAGTGTCCCCAGGGGCGCAAATCTCCCCTGTGGACCTCGGGCCTGGGCAGAAAGCGGGCGCAATGGAAACCTGACATGCTCATGGGTGGAAGCGGAGGGGAGGACCTGCTGATGAACAGAATGTGGGTGGGGAAAGAAAGGATCAAAAAAAACTTCATCCTCACTAAGCAAGAACATTTAAAGAACACTAGCTATGTCTCACTCCTCTTACAAAACTATCCTCTCTCTTCTTCCTCAAGCAGCCTCACTCCCCACTGGACAGTACAGATGGAATTAGCTGCGGACCAGGGGCCCCCCAGTGCTGTTAGGAGCTGGGGTCATTGGAGCTTTCCAGCGTCCCCTGGGTCTCCACTTCCTATGGAAGATGGTGAGTGGGGACTTGGCTTTCCCCATGATAAAAGCCTATCACGAGCTCTACCATATAAACTGCTGCATGCTCCCAGACTACAGAGCTCATCGTTTTCAAGCCCTTGAAGGCCTGAGATAAGAAAAGACAGAGCAGTTGAGCAGTGAACATTCTGGAAGGGGTGTTAAGTAACATGGTTTTTGGCCTCTAAAACCTGGTCTGAATTCTTCCCAGCTTGGGCAGAATGTCTGGGGGTGAGGAAGCTGTCTACTTGGGGAAAAGTGACCCAGAGATGAGGCAATGCTTCCTCTGTTACCCAGACCCGAGGGGGCCAGGACGTGCACTGTGCAACGCAGGGGGTACTCCACACACAGGCCATACTGTAGGTCTTCCCCCGGGGACCATTCAACAGGGCATTCCCTCTTGGGGCACAGAAGCTTTCGGTCCTGGCATTTAAAACTCCTAATGTTCTGGCTAGGAAGATTGTTCCATGATTAGATGATAACAGAAACACAAGCAAGATACAAAAGGGCATGCTGACTCCCGCTTTCAGACTAGGAATTCAGCGTTCGGCTCTGGATGCGGAGTTCTTAGGATGTTACGATGAAAGCTCATCGTGGTCACTGAAGGAAGAGGAAGCGGGTGAGAGTTCAGTGGAAGATAGGGAAGGGAACTTCTAAAAGATCACAGGGTTGCTGAATTTTCCAAGCCCCAGGTCTGCATTTCTCATAGGATAAATCTAGCTCTTGGGAAAGAGACCAAGTTCCAAACAGGAGCTGCTCCAAGTGTGTGTGTGTGTGGCGGGGGGTGCTGCTCGGTCATGCACCACAGGCCAGGTCTTGTTACGGTGAACCCCAAAGGGCTGTGCACATTCCTTGCCACGAAGGAAATCTGCCGTATCAAAGGCTGCTTGAAAGAAGAGTCCTATTGTGTAGAAAGGAGAAGTAGATGAGTTGTCTGGTGGTCCAGGCATTTGTGGGAAGGGCACAGGTTTTGATGTGTGGATGGGGGGAGGCTGGCCTTGCCTTCGGGGGGGGGCCAGTGCAGGAAAATGGAAAGTGTGCTGGACCTGGAACCAGATTCCTAAGTCCAAGTCTGGTCCTTGCCGCTTCCAAACCACGGGGAAACGGCAAAATTCGATCCTGAAGGTCTTCAATTCATTAACACGGGAACCAGAGTGAACACAAGGCTCCTCTCACTGGACAGCACTGGTGGGAGGGCCCAAATGACGCGGTGCTATGGAAGTGCACAGTGTCATTCTCGCACCATCCCATAATAACGAAAACACGTGCTTGTTTTCGGACAAGAGGGCTCTCTCTACCTTTATGGAAGAGCGGCTACACCACTTGGCCCCTCTCGTACCAGGAGGATGCAAAAATAGCTTCAGTTCCAAGACACTGCTCCAAGTTTTTACAAAGTGCTCCTGCCTCCCGCCCACCCCCCGCTCAGCCCCGCACAGTGATCTGATTAGCAATCCGAGAATCCAAGAAGAGATGAGCCACCATCAGCCTAGGCCCCAGTCCCCAGGGCCACTCACCGTCACCACCACATAGAAGCACCATACCACTGAGCTGAGATGAAAGATGACCAGCTGCCCAGATTCGTTGAACTTGCTGTGTTTGACCTTGGAGAGGTGAAGCCGTTTGCTGATTTTCTAAGGAATAAAGAGAAGCCTGCATGTTAATGTATGCAGGTGGATGGCTAAAAGGCAGGCTTTGACTTCCCATTTCCCACCCATGAAAGGGCAGCAGTCAGGAGCTGGGCGTGACCCGGGCTCATACGTGTAAACCTGCTGTGTGCATGGAGCACTCAAGTTCAAGGCACGTATTTTGAGAAAGTGGCAAGATGGAGGTCTTCAGCCCAGATGTGAAGAAAACATCCCCCAGTCAGGCTATAGGACAGACCCATGAGGGTGCCATCCTGCCATTTCAGGTGCGTGATGCCCTCCCGTCGTAAGTGCTACCGTCCCACACACAAAGGAGGCTGTGAACGGGGATGGGACCCACAGTGTGTGGGGAGGGACGTCCAGGCAACAGGACCAATCAGGGCGTGCGAATTAGGAGACAGAGGGGCCAGGAGCTGCAGTCTCCTCCGGGGTGAGGCCTCTCCACACACGGCATCTCCCCAGCTTCTGACATTAGGGCCCACACGCGTCACTCACATCTAGAATATACTCCTGAACCACGGCGTGCAGGATGATGGTGATGAAGATGTAGAACAAGATGGTGACCAGGTCCTTGGGCCCATAGTGGTAGTGCACAGTCTCACTGTCTGTGGAGGTAAAGGCCACATCAGCACCCTGTGCTGAAGAAGTGCTGTGGGACCCCGAACTGGAGACCTCTGAAGCACAATGTGCCATGCTGTACCCTTAGACGCAGAAAGTTTCCTCCCTAGAATCCTACCCAACCTCTGGACGTGGCCCCTGGGATGCCGCCATGGGGAGGGCTGAGGAACACCATGAGGACTACCTCCCCTGCCTCTGGGCAAGGAGAGCCCAGTGGTTCAGAGGCAGGGTGGGAGACAAGCGATCTCAATCAGGCCCTGGCTGTGTGACTAGGCAGAAGCAACCAACCTCTCTGAGCCGCAATTTCTTTCCCTGTAAGATGGGACTGCAGCCTTCATCACGGAAGCATGGAGTGGGGTTAGGAGTGTGGACTCGGAAGCCCGAGTTTATATCACAGCTGTCATTTCCTACAAGATGTTGGGACACTTCTCTAGGTGGTCTTTCTGGGCCTCAGTTTCCTCATTTGTAAAATGAGGGTGACAGCAGTTCCCATACTGTAGGGTCTCCCTGAGAATCAGAGGACTTTGCTGCAAACGGCTCAGAACTCTTATCCAGCACACAGTAAGTGCTATATGTATTTGTTACTATTTTTGTTATTGTTGGCTGGTGTGAGCATTAAGTGGAATAATTTGTATGTGAGATGCGGATCAGTGTCGACACCCATGGCAAGCATGCGCTAATGGTATCACCGCACAGCAATACACTCATCAGAACCCCAGACATAGAAGCCTTACAAAGTCCTGCGGCGGCAGCCTCGTTCTCCACGGACAGGGGAGGATTTCTACCCTCCTTCCAGTCGGCAAGCTAGGATGGCCAGGGCCCGTGAACCTGGACCTGGATCTCTGCTGCTCCATAAACCACCCCAGAACTTGGCCAAGCAGACACACTGGCTGCCTTTCCAGCTGTGCAGCGTTCACACTGAGTCACACACCCATGAGTCATCATTCACCAGAATGCAGACACAGCTCAGGGAGGCTCAGGGTGGCCACAGAATGGAGCAGAGGTGACAGGGTCACTCTGGGAGCCACACCACGCCCCCTGCATCCCTGGACATGAGAGAATGGAGGTCCACGGTGCCAAGGGGTGGGAGGGTAGCGAGCACGGCAACCCTGAAGGCAGACCCACTTGCCTGTTTTCTCTCCTGCCTCCTTTCCACAAGGACCTACCCTCTGAGGGGCGCAGGGCTAACTGTAAAAGTGTGGAGATCAGGGACACTGGCCCAGCTTCAGGGCACACGGACCGGGGAGGCGATGGACAAGCAAATGCACAATGACCCCCACGGACAGGCACGTAGTCCAAGAGATACACAGAGCACCCCAGTGAGCCACGCCAGGCCAGGGCCCAATATCAGCTGGGGTGGGGGTGGCGGGGAGTAGGTCGGGGCGCAACAGGACCATGTCGGAACCTGGGGGTGGGTGCGGGTAGTCAGGTTGGGGGGAGAATCTAGGCAGAGGATGGGGGCATCCGTAGGGGATGCAGGGGATGAGGCTGCGGTGAATGCCTGGGTGCCCTGTGAAAGGGGGTGGCCTTGAACCTGAAGGTGACACGGACACAATGAAATTCATTCAACATGCAAATGATGAACCCTGGGTCTGGGGAAGTGGACTCTGGCCCCAGTGAACAGCGTCGTGCCTGGAGGTGAAGACACTGGTCAGGGAGCTGCCGCCATGATCCACATCAGGAACCATGGAGGCCTGCATTAAAGGAGGGAGAGAGAGAGAAAGCGGGGAGAGGGCCACCAGTGAGAGAAGGGGCAGCATGCAGGGCTGGGCCCACCCAGGTCCTGAGGGCTGGGGGGCGGGGAGGGTCAGGCCCAGGGCCGGAGGAGAAGGCTTTGCAGCTGGAAGGACACTTGCCCTGCCTCCTTCAGAAGGAAGGACCCAAGGACACAAACTCGATGGGAGCCTGTTTTGAAACCATAAAATAAACACATACGAAGTTTCATCAAGACTAGTGTTACTAGGCAAAACGGGATTTATACTCAGCCAGACAAGCACGATCCCAGGGTAGTGAGAAAAGACCCATCAGGACGTTGCATTATCCTCTTTAAGGCCTCTTCAGGGCCATGTGCCGCTCTTTACCCCCAAATACCGGGGTTCCGAAGAGATGTGACCCTAAGCTTTGACCCTTCTTGGAACAAGAATGAGTGTGTGAATTAATATATTCTCTTGTCCCTTTGCTGTTGAGACTGACATGTGTCTTTCTGCACCAAGTATAACCCATGTGCGCGGCTCCACTCTGCGTGCAGGCAGAAGACCATGAAGTCGGTGAGGCCGGCTCTGCCCCCCAGGACTCAGTGGGTGCACATCAAATCTTCACATGAAAAAACCAGAGGCTAAAACGCCAATGGCAGCAGCAACAACAACAAAACCAAACCACCAGGTTAAAAACGGGCAAAGGAATCAAACAGACATCTAAAAAAAGACATACAAATGGCCAGCAGGTATGTGACAAAGTGCCCGCCATCGCTATCATTAAGAAATGCAAATCAAAACCATGATACCATCTCCCATCCGTTAAAATGGCTACTTTTTTTTAAGCCACCAACAAAATAAATAAATAAATAAATTTTTAGAAAACAGGAAATAACAAGTGTTTGTGAAGACATAGATAAATGGAGCTTTTGTGCAGATTGCGGGAATGTAAAATGGGAGAGTCACTATGGAAAGCATTATGGTAGTTCCTAAAATATTAAAAATAGTAAACTCAAAATGGATGGAAGACCTAAACGTAAGATCTGAAGCCATAAAAACTCCTAAACAAAAAACCACATAGGCAGTAATCTTTTGGACATCAGCCTTAGAAACTTTTTTTGGGATCTGCCTCCTGAGATAAGGGAAACAAAACCAAAAATATACTATTGGGCCTACTCCAAAATAAAATGCTTCTGAACAGCAAAGGAAACCATCAACAAAACAAAAAGGCAATCTACAGAATGGAAGAAGGTATCTGCAAATGACATATCAATAGGCAAAATATATAAAGAATTTCTACACGTCAACACACAAGTAATCTGATTAAAAATGGGCAGAAGCCCTGAACAGACATGTTTCCAAAGAAGACATCCAGATGGCCAACAGACACCTGAAAAGCTGCGCAACGTCACTCATCATCAGGGAAATGTAAACAAAACCACAATGAGAGATCACCTCCCATCTGTCAGAATGGCTAGAATCAGACAAGAAATAAGTGTTGGTGACGACGTGGAGAGTAGAGACCCTCGTGCACTGTTAGTGGGAATGGAAACTGATCCAACCACTGTGGAAAACAGTATGGAGGTTCCCCCCCCAAAACCAGAACTAGAAATTCCATACAATCCAGCAATTCTACTATGGGTATTGACCCAAAGAAAATGAAACCCTCATCTGCAAAGATAGGTGCACCCCTATGTTCCCTGCAGCATTATCTACAACAGTCACATTATGGAAGCAGCCCAAGTGTCCGCTGATGAGATAAATGAATGTGGTACACATGTAAAGGGACATTACTCAGCTGTTAAAAAGAAGAAGAAGAAGAAGAAAGAAGAAAGAAGAAAGAAGAAAGAAGAAAGAAGATCTTGCCACTTAGGACAATATGGATGGATCTATGGGGTATTATGCTAAATGAAGTCAGAGAAAGAAAAAAAACCTTAAGATTTCATGTCTATGTGGGAAGTAAAAAATAACTGACCAGAACTGGACTCCTATATCCAGAGAACAAACGTGTTGGCCCGAGGGTGGGGATGGGGAATGGGTGAAGTCAGTGAAGGGAGTCAAGGGGTACACACCACCAGTTCTAAACTAAGTCCCGGGGGTAAAGAGAACAGCATGGCGGATAGAGTCAGTAACATTGTACGGTGACAGAGGGTGACAGCACTCGGGGTGGTGAGCCCAGTGTCATGTACTGAACTGTCAAATCACTATGCTGTACACCTGAAACTACTACAACATTGTAGGTCAACTAGATTTCCATTTAAAAAATTAAAAATAGGGTTACCGTATGATCCTGCAATTCTGCCTCAGGGTATATGCTCAGAACAACTGAGAGCCGGTCTCAAAGCAGCCCTTGTGCCCCATGTTCGCGGAAGCACTTTCCACAGCAGCCAAAGGTGGAAATGACCCACGTGTCTACTGATGGATGAACGGACACACAAAATACAGTATACACATGCAACAGAATATTATTCAGCCTTAAAAAGGAAGGAAATCCTGCCATGGGCTACACCGCAGATGAACCTGCAGGTGGCTGGAGTCGGATTCACAGACACGAACCAGAAGGCTGGGGTGGGGGGCCGGAGGGGCTGGGGGCCCAGAGGGGGAGGGGAATGGGGAGTTGCTGGTTTAGCTACAAAGTTGCAGTTTGACAAGAACAGCATTCTGGAGATGGGCCAGACAACATGAATGTATTTAACACTACTGAACTGTACACTTAGAACACTTAGAAATGGTGACGATGGTAAATTTTATCTTATGCATGTTTAAATTAAAAAACCACCACCAGCAGCCAGGTGTTAGATAAGTGCTCTGAAGTGGACCGAAGGCTGAAGGGGTGGTAACGGGGAGAAGTGTCACTCACTCAAGGAGGGGACATAGCCAGGCTGTTCGGGGGTGGGGGAGAGAGCTGGCAAGGGCAGAGGCCCCAGGCAGGTGATGGAGGAGTGAGACTGGACCAGGGGTCTGGGGGACTGCAGAAGTGGGTGGGCCATGACCTTTGTGTCCCCTTAAGGTCCCAGCGAGGTCTGAAAGGCTCTGACAGGCTACTGAGACTTTTGGTGCCATATTTAGAAAGCTCACTCTTCCTGCCCCATGGAGAGTTAGAGAGTCAGAGAGGCATGCACGGAAGGCAGAACAGCACGGTGCCAGGTCATGGCGAGAAGACCCATCTGGATAGAGGTGGGAGATAGAGCGACCATAGGGAACTGTTCCCAAGTTCCTTCTGGAACCTCATCGGCACTCTGGAGCCTTCCTTCATGCTTTCAGAATTCTACAACATGGGATATTCTGTTTGATCTCATGAGATGGGCAAGGAGAACAGGGGAGATTATGGGGTTCAGAGAGGTAAGAGGAGCCCTTCTCAG